GGGGGGGGGATTATGGGGGTTCAGGAGCGCCCATGAGGCTACCTTCCTGGCGCTTGAGGGATGACTGCTGGGTCGGGAGCAGGCGTGGTTCTCCTTCCCACGGTGGATCTTGCCCGGCCTACCTCCCGGCGCTTGAGCGATGACTGCTTGGGAAATACTTTTTTTAAATTTTTGGTACTGGGGATCGAAATCAGGTCCTTGAGCTTGCAAGGCAGGCGGCAGAACCACTGAGCTAAATCCCCGGCCTGGGAAATACTTTTAAGAACAAAATCTTCATTTACTTGAAGTACTCCCTATTACCCAGTCTAAGAATAAAAAGTATGTTGAAGCAGAAATGATTTCTGTTGGAAATAAAAATCATCTTCCAATTAAAACAGGGCATCAGCATGGTGGACGCTTCCTTGGCGGGCCTACAAGGTCAAAGCATGGTCTTATGTTTCTGGGAGTCTGGGAGCATGTGAATTAGGCTTCCTCAATGGCACTTTCCAGGTGTCTGTCTCTCCTCTCCCCTCCCCTCCCCTCCTCTTCTCTCAATTCAACAGTTTGGAATGTTTGCTTTTGAACAGGGTATGATAGTACGTGCCTATAGTCCACGCTACTCACTTGAGCCCAGGAGACTGGGGACATTTAGACAACACAGTGAGACCCCATATCAACAAAACTAACAAAAAGAAAACACAAAGTTTATTTTAGCTAAATCTACATGCACGGATATGCCTAATATTACCAAGTTTTAAAAAATATGGAAAAGATTCCACTTTGATCACACATGCATAAGAATTTTCATATCTGAATTTTAAACATTAGATCCCCATCCCGATCCCCAATAGCGGGGCTCCCCAGAAAGTCCCTGGGGGCGCCCAGTATAGGCCATAGGGCTCAAGGTGGGGTGAGAAGTGATGGGGTGCAATGTGGGGTACCTGAACCCCCTCAGATCTGCCATATGTATGTGTTAGGGCTGTTTGCTGGCTATAGTGGTTGGCAGGGATCAGGGTTCCAACCTCTTTCAAATTCACTCCAGTCTTCAACTGTCAGGTCACACTTAGGGAACAACATGGTTTGGTCATGTTAATTTATTCCTAATAGAAGATCATTTTGAAATAGACCAGTAGAAGAAGGAAACAATGATCAAATTTGCCAAAGGGTATAAAAAGTCATTACATCTCATACATAAAAGATGATCCCTTAAGAAATCATACTGCTACTCGATACAAATAGTTGGTCAATATTTACCATTTAAGGTGATTTTCCATCTCTTCATAAGTGTCTTGTCTGACTTTCTGTTCAAAGAGTGCCTCCTTCATCTGTCTTGTTTTTGAAATCTCAGTGCCTTGGTCCAACACTGAAGGCAGGAGCAAACAGTGATTACTCCAGTAATCGAATCAGAACCATTTGCTGAGACGAAAACACATTTCTAATGATGAAGCACAACAGCAATCTAAGTGAGTCTTCATAAACAGTGCTCATAAAGAATCAAGACGGAAAGGAATAATTCTTTCACATTCTACCCAGGGGTTGATTTATGCTGGATCAACTGGGTACCTTCTCTTAATTCTTTAATCCTCAGTTTTCCCGGTTCTTGGTTTAAAACAGTTGCCACAGCAAATGGATTTGATAAATCTACTGGGAATCTCAGATTCTGGTACTCAATTTCCTAGAGACCAAATCAGTGGAGAGTCAGTTCTCCAAGCTGCACCGCATCCCTCCATCACACTGAGGCCTGTGCCCCGCTTACCTTCACCTTCGGAGGGATTCTCTTTTTTGGTAGTCGGTGAAAACTTACACGTCTCATTGCTTTTTCTGGAGGAACATCTACGTTCTTACAAAGAGTATTTAATTTTTCAAATTCTTTTAATCTATAGTTTAAAACAGATAATACATTAGTATACAAGAACCAGTAATTCCAAGTTTCTATTTGTATGTTCCTTCTGATAAACTGAAAATAAATCTGTATGTCAAAATAGTGGTCTATTAAAACAGATGCAATGTTAATATATTCATGTGCACTTGTATACATCAAAATAATTCCCTGATGGTGGTTTTTCATTGTATTCTTTTTTTTTCGAGTTTATTGGTACATTTTAGGTATACAGTACAGTTACATTCATTATTGGGATCTTGAACCTTTACATGACAGGTCTTTGGTTCTCATTTTTTCCCCCTTATACCTGCCCTCCCTTCATCCCCTCCTCCCCTCCCCATTTACAAACACTTTATTTCCATTTCTTCATTTCATTGCATTCTTAAAGAATTCAATGAGTAGAAAACACAGCATGAAAAATGTTCTCCCGGTGTAGCATAATTCATTTCTCAGCTATTGGTTTTTGACAGCTATATGTAATTAAAAATCTAACTTTGGAAGGCAGCTATGCTCACCACTATACCACCAACGCTTGTTAAAAATCTAACTTTGATTTATCTTTCTAGTAAAAGAATGATCATGTTCACTGTTGGCAGCAAGACCTTCCAAAATAGAGGTTCCAGCCAATAAGAGGGATCTTTCCTGCAAGTGAAAAGTGCCCTTGGACAGAGGTAGAAGTAACATAGCTAATAAACTGTAGGAGATGTAGAGCTATGTTACATCGAGGAAAGCTCTCTATGAAGTGTTCTTTAAACATGAATATATGTGTACTTGTTTGCCAGAATGTAACATCAAAGGAGTAAGAAAAGCACATAATACTGACACATGTTCATTCTGACAGGCAGTGTGTACTTGCTAAGCACCCACCGAAGAGGCCTGGCTATGTCACATGGAACACGTGCTAAGTATCTTACATTTAACAGCCTTCTCTGCAAGAGCATCCCAAGGTCCACGGCACAGGAGGATGTGCCCCTTGGTGAGACACATTCACGGACAGGCTACAGTGTGCAGGAATGAGGGCTTAGCTACAGTGAGAGTGGTTCAGCATCCACATTTCAGCAGAGCTTCAGGAGCACCCCTGCTGTAACTATCGGGGAACAACAGAGCCTTTCCGGGAGATGTCAGAAACACAGCCTCCTAAAGACCTCTAATTGCAAGTGTTGAGGAAGAAACTGAAAGTGTCTAAGGACATGGTAAACCAAAGAGTTACATACACAGGGGATTTGGCAGTGCCGAATTTAGGACTTGTGTAAGTGGCATACACCCCATGCTGAAACAAAGAAAGCGGTTTATGAAAATTTCAGAGAACACTACAGCCAGCATAATTACTTTCCCTTCGTGGTGAAATTTATGTTATTTATATGCTATTTGCTGTTTGGAAGACATGGAAGTGTTGAGATGCAAGATATTAAACCCTAGCTGGGAAACCAAAGACACCATAGCTTAGCAATAGTGTATACCTATAATAGTGTATATATACTGCATTTGGGATGGTGTTTCTTCCATACAGAGCTCTCCCTTACGTATTTCAAAACACTTCTGGGATGGGCATGTGGCTCAGTGGTAGGTAAATGTTTAGCATTCATGAGGCCCTGGCTTTTGTCCTCAGCATCCATAAATAAAAAGTAAAATAAAAAATAACATATCTATGGGGAGATAGAAAAATACAACCCCACTTAAGTGGTATCTGAAAAATTCACTTGAGTGTGGCAACACCTAACACAAGAAGGCAAGTGGAGTCCTGTTTGCCTAGTGATTTGACTAGAAAAATTAGCACTGTTTTTTGTTTTATTAATTCTATTGACTTATTGCCTGGGTGATTTTAATTCTATAATGGTTACTTGATGGATTTGAGTTTAACAGCCCACACTAATATCTGCTAATTGACTTACACTGTTTTGAAGTTTTAGGAAGAAAATCTTGACATAAATATATCATAAGCCATGGCTTTAGTTCATTTTTAAGGCTAAGGTTGTTTATCCACTTTTAATATACTTAATAGGTGATGTACACCCACATATGAAGGGACGAGGAGGAAAATCAAAATATCATTTTCAAAATAATTGTCGGGATCTTTCAGTATTTATAGTGTTGCTATGTTTGCTTTATATTTATTTTATAAAAATCGTGCATATCAGAAAAAACATATAAGCCATAAATACTGGGATATAGAAATACAAGCTCATATTCCAATAGAAGCACATTTCAGGATTTGTTATGAAGTAAAATTTAATACCACCATCCATCTTCACTCTCCGCCCCCCGTGTGGCATGTTTCCCTCTGCTTTGGGTGATGCCACTTGTTGTACCTGACTCACTGTGGCATCTTCAGGGCATGGGCCTTTCCCCATGGTACTTTGCAACAGACACCGTGCAAAGCAGGCACTCAGTGAATTGTAACATCACATGGAAAATTGAGTTAAGTGATTCTGGCCTGGTATTATTTAATTGGCTATCCTGTATACAAAGACTCACACAGCAGGCCAGCAGTAGTCAGTGGAAGAAAGTATGCCTCAAAATTTTTAAAATTGCCCTTTCCAGTCTAACCCAGGACTTTGTGTATGCTGGACAAGTACTGTACCATTCACTTCCAACATCCCCGGCTACCAAACCCCTTTTCTCCGTCACTTCATCCCCTCTTGGCAGAAGCAACTCTCTTACGAGCATAGAGCATTCTATGCACTGGTGTTACAAGTCAAAGCACACAGAAGGAGCATACTCGTTCTGTTACAAGAAAGAGGGACAGGGTGGAAGGAAGACTTGGATTTTTGAAACATTTAAGAACAAACAAGAAATTCCAAAGAAACATACGGTAAGGCCAGGTTGGGATAGCACGTTCCAGTGAAGACACATTCGTATGGCTGAGAGTTGAACTGTGAAATCCATAACTGCATTTTTATTTGTGCAGTGCCATACTGAAAGGGTGTGAACTTTATAGTCACATCCATCCTCCCATTAGCTGGAATTATTCCTGAGGAGAAAGAAATGTGAAAATGTGACTCTATCTATCTTCTTGCCAAATACAAAGAGGTGGGCACACGTGCAAATACATTCTTCCCAGGCAAAGCAGGAAAATTTCTATGATCTGTATATAGTCTTTTCATTAAATGCTTATAAATCAACTTCTCTGTTTACATGGAGCTTATGTATCAATCACTACATTAATCCTTTATCATAATAATTTAACTGTGTCAGTTATAGGAATATACATATACATCAACTGCATTAGTGATGCAAACACAATTCCCAGAACGCTAATCTTTAAGCAAATTACCAGAAGTCAATGCTAATGCTGTTTGCAGCAAAGAAAAGCTAGGAACATACATAAATGTTTGTGTCTAAATAATTCAGTGCTCTGTGTTTTTATTTGATTCTTGCCTTTCAGATCTTTGTGCATGCATGTGTGTTGCTAGGGACGGAACCCAGGGTCTCTTGCATGCTAGGTAAGTGTTCTACTGAGCTACACCACCAGTTTTCTCCTTTCAAATCTTAAAGATAAACTGCTGTCCCTTCTGAAATTAAAAACCACACTGTACCTTATTCCTCCTTTGTATCTCTGGTAATATTGCCAGATGGCACAATATTTGATGGTTCCAGGCTCTTTCTGTCCCACCCAAAGATTTGGCCAGGACAACCAATAAACAGATAAATGCAACTTTTATCTTAAAGTAAAAGAAGAAAAGGAAAGAGTGAAAAAATGTGAAGAGCAAGCTGAGACATGTCCTGCATGTAGGACAGGCTACTGAAGAAATAGGAAGACAGCAGAACGGGAAGATCACAGTGGCAGTGAAGTCAGTGGGCACCATAGTTTATACTCTCTCAGATGGGGTCTGTTGGAAATTGCTCTGCCCAAAAATCCCAGCAGTGATTGACAGATCATATCCTGTTGTTCCGCCTCCCTTCTGGCTCATCCTATTTTCTAGCCAGCCCGCCCTGCCCTAATCTCTTGCGTAAGTGCCAATGGCCTTAGAACATTGTAAGTCCTTATCAAATGCAGGAAGACCAACAAAAGGAATAACCATTGCTATATGAGGTGAGTAATGGCTAATGTTCTCCCATCTTCCCCTGAGGGCTCTTTGGTTTGACACTGTCTGCCCCTAAGCATCTGGTCTTTCTACATCTCCAAGAGACTTTGACTGGTCCCTCGTAATTGCCTGGCTCATCCTCCTCTCTGTTGTGGCCCTCCTCTCAAACTGGTACCCCTCTTTCCCTTTTCTCTATGCTCAAACATAGATTTGTGCAGCATTTATTAAGCACTTATTGTGCTTCTGGTGTAGCAGTCAGGGATACAACAACAGATGAAACAAAGTCCCAAATTTTGGGGAGTTTATATTCTAGTTGGGGATAGCAAACAAAAAGAAACAAATTCATAAAATACAAAGTCATAAATACCAGTGTGAAACATAATGTGGGTTTGGGGGCTGAAAGATCCCTGGTGAGAAGATGCTGGAACAAAGACCTGGAAGGATAAGGCCTTCTCTCTAATCCCCAGTCTCTGGCTCCTCCTGCCTCAGCATCTCCTTACTTGCTGTTCCTTAGGCAAGAAAAGTTTTTCCTGATGTATTAGTGGTTTTGCCGACTTCAGTGATGGTGAGCTTTTTAGAACTTTCAATGATAACAGTTTGCCACCACTGGCTTACTCCCTAAAATGACCTCATTTACTGTCTGCCTCTTCCAAGACTACAGTGCAAAGTTTAGGAAAGCAGGCACACGTATACTACTGCCTTCACAGCTCAATAAACTGTTGTTGAGCAAGTCAGTGAATCCAAACTTGAATGCCTACATCAGCAAGTGCATTTCACGAACCTCCTCCTGCCTCTCCATTCACTGGAAGCTTTGCTCCCCCAAGCTTTCACATACCCCACCTTTGTGAAGTGTTACCTTTCAAAATTTTCTCCTCTCCATTAGATCACAACCCCCAAGGGCAGACACCAGAATCTCTAGCTCATTCATCTTCCTGGATCCCTTATATAGTGTTTAGTAATTGTCAATTTCTTGAGTGCTGAAGACAAAAGCACTAGATGACACCCGCTAGAGACTCAAGACAAGGCCAGGGGAGAAGGAATCGGCAGAAGATCTTGAGTCTATCAGACAGTTGAAGATAAGCTGAGGAAAAATGCTGATTAACCATCATGCCCTGGACCTCAATACACGGCAACTACTTGTTCAGAAAAATACACCTGCATGACCTGCAGTTCATTAGGAGATTTAGATTCAGCACATACTATTGCTTCTGCCCTAGTTGATTTACTTAAAAAAATAAGAATGAGCTCTGGAGCAAGTTTTAATATTTGCCTTTACCTGGCTGATTTATTTTTAAGGGCTGTTGGCCCAGATCTAATACACAAAGCACACTGTGGAGATGTAGTCTAGGCAACCAGAGTAAACTGTTTTTTCCATGAATAGGGATGCCAGTTAGCACAGCTCTGTTACCAGAGCACAGTGGCAGCTGACTGTCTAATATGAATAGCAGAAGAAGGTGTGTTAATCAGTCACATCTTACTACTTGGAAAAACTCACAGTGGCACAGATGAGAGGGTGTTCCATGTTTTGAAAGGAAGAAAGGCATTCCCCTAATGTGACTTAATTTAAAAAGGTCAAACCACTATTTTATGGCTTCAGTCCCATTTTACCTGGGGTCAATTTCAGATGGCTATCCATAACATAACCAATGATTGGTATTAAATCACAGGCCTGGGAAGGTGTTGGGCAGATGGGGGGGGTAAGAGAAATGAACTAAAGGCTAAGAAAACCCCAATTCATCAATACAATGTACATTATGAAGGAAATATAACAGCACTGAAAAATGCCACTGTGATAAATGAAGTTGCTACCAGAAAATACCATTGTGTTTTGCCTAGATTATATTTATATAAAATATGTGCATAAATATGGGCAGCTATTAAAAGGAGATGTACAAAATAAAAGCTTATTAGGCCGGGGATTTACCTCAGTGGTTCCACCACTTCTCAAGCTCAAGGTCCTGAGTTCGATCCCCAGTACCAAAAAAAAAAAAAACATATTGGCCAGATGTGCATGCCTGAAATCTCAGCATTTGGGAGGCTAAGGCAGGATGATTGCCACAAGTTTGAGGCCAGCTGGAGCTACACAGTCAATTTAAGGCCAGCCTAAGCTACACAGTGAGAGCCTGTCTCAACAAAAACAACAGCAAAACCAAAAAAAGGCACATTATATTTCAGGGCAAAAAGGCCCACGATGGAAAAATTTCTTCTCTCTTACATTCTGTACCATATTATAATTTTACATTTTATTTTACTCTTAACTGGTACACAATAACTGTACAATGTAGTGTTTCAATATATTTGTACTGCTATAATGATGTCAGGGTAATTAGTATATTCATCACCTCAGCCATTTACCATTTCTTCATGGAGAAACAGTCCCGAATCTCTCTTCCAGCTATTTTTAATGCACTTTTACCCTACAGTGCACTAGGGTACCAGCACTTGCTGTCCTATCTGTGTAGGTTAGGGGTATTGGCACCTCAGCCCTGCCCTAGCCTCTGGTAACTACTACTGTGGTCTCTAATTCTATGAGATCAACTGTTATAGATTTCATATTTGAGCGAGATCATCAATACTGTCACGATTTTAAAACAACCATTTCTCCAAACAGCACACAAAGTACAGATTATTTTCCCTGAATTGTCACAGCACCATCCAACCCACATGCTTGAAGTGTTAGCAAGGATTGGCTTTAATCTTCTAAGATTTAGGATTCTACTAACTATGGGATTTGGGATAAACTACTTAATTCCTCGAAGCTTTGGCTGGGAAATAAATAGCTATGCTGTTTAAAACTCATCCGTGAACAAGCTGTTGACAATTTGAGAAACAGCTTTAGGCAATTTGAGCCTTCTTTTTGCTGAGTTACAAGGGAGGACTTCAAGAAGGGAGAGAGAGCATCTGTCTCATACTGACAGAGCACAGGCCTCCACAGCTGCTTGGGCTGTGGGATGAGAGAGCAGCCCAGGGGTCACATGGACCCTGACACACAGGAGCTCTATGACCTACCTTGTAAGTCATCTGAGGCTGTAAAAATGGGACAAGAAGAAAATCATTTACATATAGGGTCTGGGAAAATGCCTGACACACAGTGCATGCCTTAGGGTCTTCCCAAGATTTACAGCTACATAGCACAAGGAACAATTTATCATGATTAGATCACCATTGCAGTGGCAGGAAGAGGAAATTTTTCTTTGAAAACCTTATATTCGACTCAGTTGAGTTCTCAGAAAGGAATAGGTGGTTTTTCCCTGACACCAAGGCACAGAGTGAGCTTCCCAGAGCCCAGATCTTTCCTTTTGCTTCACACAGGTACCCGAAGCAGGTGAACCTAAAGGTCAGTAGACAGGAGTGGGATGCTTTAGAATGGCCTGTTTTAAAAGTTAGGCCTAGAGACTTACTGTGAAGAGGTGCAACATACACAAGTCCTCAGCTTTCAGATACACATTCGATTCTAAATTTCCCAGGAAGTACCGACTCCTGCTCAGCCTCAGCAGATGAAGGCTCATGCCTTCAGACACTTACACTGCTGAGAATGCCCCACACTTGTTTTAATCTTTATTTCCCTTTTCCCCTCCAACAAGATATTTCTACTGGAACTTGAAATCAGTGATTCAATGAGGTCTTCTGGAATCTGGTAACTTTCTTTTTCATTCCTGTCCATCAGATATCCAAAGTGCAGAAGCTAGAAGTGAGTACAGGGAAGTGGGGGCTCTTCTTGTCTGCTTGTGGGCGTGGGAAGGTGAGGAGGAGTTGGATGAAGGATGCTGGAAAAATGTAACCAGGCCAGGAACTCCTTTGCTGTCAAGCATATAACCTGCCAGTTGGAAACAATGCCCCCAGCTCACATAGAGTGCACTGTACTGGCCACTGTGTCCAGCACCATGAAGACCCAGGGGTGGTACAAGAAGTGATTCCCGTGCTCAAGCTGTTATATGAAGCACCA